ACTTGGATAATTTTACTTGGATAATTTTACAAGCTGTGCCAGGTTACCAAGTGGTCGAGTGAATGACGGTCGAGTGAAAGTTAAGCGTCCGAAAAAAAATTTGAGAGTTCGCACTCATTTGAAATCGGGTGTAAAGCCACAAAAATGTCCAGTCTAGATGTTTTAAACAAAGGAGTCATCCTGTTATTGCACTGCAACTTTCTAAATGAAGAAACTCGGTTTGACTTGAAAAAAATATATTCCTTCGTTTCAGTGTTGAATATATTATATTCTTTTTGTTGGTTATCTTACGCTTAATTCACAATCGAGAGTAGAATCATTTGAAATAAAAAATTAATGCAAAACATATCAAACAAGTGGATATAGTTTTCTCAATATAACAATTTCACTATACCCCTTTCCTGTCACAAACATCCAATTTATGCCTTTGGCAAAAAGRCACGATATGGTTGCCATGCTGCAGTGAGGAATATAATCTTGCACAGTAAGCCGCCAACTCAAATCTTTGAATGTCAATCAAAATCATTTAGAGATCCATATTTGAACGGTTTATACCTGTGCTTTGTACTTACTAAAGCCAATCATAACTATAAGACTTGACGTATGGGCGTTAAAAGAAAATCGTCATGAGGTAATGCAAAGGATCAAAAATAATCTTATTCACTTTTTCTGATCAGTCAATTTTAGCAAGGTCGGCCCTTGGTTGAAGTTCCTAGCCAAGATTAAAAAGGTACCGACATAAACGGTCATTATCAAATCACTTGTAAAATTAACTGGTAAATCAATATGATCCATGTATTGCAGCGTAAAGAAAACGGAAGATACGTTTTAACAATTGAGTGAAAGACAACACAAAACTGCACATACATTAACAATCAATCTTAATTCTCAGTTGTAGAAGCATTTATTTGAGCTGTGTTGGGTTAACTTCAATTCTGTCTGGGGTAGCAGTACTAACAACAGGTAGAACAACCTGTTCCTTGTTCAGTCACGTTATTGATGTATTTTCTTGGAGAGCCCCTGTTAATTTACCATAATGAATGACCGTTCGGCTGTCAAGCTATGGATTTCTTTATGGAAATAAGAATTTCAGGACCACAAGATGAAATCACTTTAATCATTAGCAGTTTTTATAAGATCAATATCCATAAGTAAGAATTTAACCTCCTGCCTTTTTAATTCTTTGAAAGAGAAATGAGAATTCGAAAAACAGCAACAAGCAGACTAAATACATATTGATTTGTTTTATTTTCAGAAATGCAGTCCTTCTGTTTCGGTTTTCCACTTGGTCTGGTTCTTCTGCAATGCTTTGGTAARGTAGCCGTGGTTSTCATTTGTTACCCGTTGTGCTTACATAGCCATTACCTTTACCGTTYTCATTCCCGATTCTATWCTGTCACTAACTTCACCACTCCCATTGTAATTATCAAGTTGACTAATGTAACAAATTTATCAAATTAGTTGCAACTGCGGCAAAAGAARWGGACTATGGAAAGTACGGCAAGTTCAGCAATGCTCCTCCCTTCGACAGCAAAGTCATTATAGTGAACAGACCTTTACCTGCTAAACCAGAAGAAATGCAAATGGAATATTTTGTGTTCACGAGGGAAGATCGTATCGGCAAAATAAAAATWGATGACAGYGAYGYTAACAAACTTCAGGAATCCAGTTATGATGGCGCGAAAAGGACTTTCCTCATAATTCACGGCTGGACTGGTGAGTAGACATCKGGTAGACAACTGAATACAAATTTGAACATCATAAAAACGTCTCAATGTCAAATGTTATCCATTTCTAGGAAAGCCACTGGAATCTAAATGGGTCAACACGATGAAAGATGTTTTACTAGAGAAAGAAGATGCAAATGTCATTATAACTGGATGGAAAGAAGGAGCGGACGACCTTTACTACCCACAAGCCGTCGGCAACTCACGATTAGCTGGAGCCATGGTATGCTCTCCTTGAATTCTGTAAATATTGTTTGATTTCAAAAGTACCCTTTTGAACGTCTGCCTAAGGCGAATGTATGACKAGGTTAATTGCTCAAGATATTTCATTTCAAGATGCAGGGTCACAGGAAAACATTCAGACGTACACGAGCACCCAAGAATGAAATGTGGGAATGCAACATGACTCATTCCGTGATAAAACAAATCATGAAGAGTGTCATGACCTTTAATATCTCGTGATTCTATAAATAACATTGTTAGTCCTAAACATTTAGAGAGTCAAAAGGACAATTACTTTTRCAGGTAGCGGAGTTTATCAAGTTTCTCAACACCCAAACCARCAACACTCCAGAAACATTCCACGTGATTGGATTCAGTTTGGGTGCACATGTGGCTGGGTATGCCGGGAAAAGATTTCAAGAAATAACAGACTCAAAGATTGCTCGTATTACAGGTATTAAATGATTTCTTGTTGTGCTTTCTGCTGAGGTGTTAGCAATCTTATATTCTGGGCACCATCATCACATTTCATTGAAATTATCTATACAGTTTAAAAGCACATGTCAACGACCATTCGTCTTTCACTGTCATACTTTTCATGAACGRCATCATTTTCCAGGCACCATCCCACGCARTACATCCATTCTTAGTGCCACCTGATTTTCTTTACATGGATGCAGCTAAATCTCCCAGCATTTGATCCCTTGGACTTTTCYAGTSAAMATYTGATTCAAACTTTATAATCGTAGGACTAGATCCAGCTTCGCCWGGGTACAAAGGTACACACATTGACGTAAGATTGGACGCCACTGACGCCGAGTTCGTCGACGTTATCCATAGCGACTGCCCAAGAGTAGGAACCCCTGAYAARAGTGGAAAGTTCGACTTTTGGCCTAATGGCGGYGGATCACAACCTGGATGTCTTATACGAAGTAGGTGAACATATCGTCAAAATTGAAAATAACACGATTAATTTACGATGAATTCCTTGCGCTTTCTTTGTTGTCTATAATTCTTTATATTCCTGGCTTTACACTTACCATTCTTTAATGCACTAGGAAATTCATTTAAAATAATTGTTTCACTTTTGTTCAATCCTTCCTGATCTTATTCGATCCTTAAATGATCCTTTTGCTGTCAATAGAAAAAGGATTGGTCGATAAAATCTTCAAATTGGTGGGGTGCGAACATTACCGAGCTCACCAATACTTCATCGAGTCCATCAAATCCACCGAGTGCTTATTCCGTTCGTATCCCTGCCAAAACTGGAATGAGTTTACACGTGGCAAGTGCATGGAGTGTGGAGCTAATGGAAAGAACTGTCCAGAAATGGGATTTAACGCAATAAAGTACAAGGATTTAGAGGGTGGGAGCTTTTATCTTAACACCAACTCAGAAGCTCCTTATTGCGGTAAGAATTGACAATCAATCTATCGTATAATGKTTCTTAATCATCCATACATGTTATCCAAAACTGTGAGCATTTYCTCACCCAACCRATCACAAACCAAAACAGAAAACAAAAGTTTCAAGATGTTATGCTGAAACGWTCCTCATCAATCATGTTTGATTTCTTCCACAGTTCCTCGCTACATGTATGTAACATTTGGAACTGGTACATCCATTTTTGGAGGTGGACATAATCCAAGAGTTCGTATCTCTGGAAGCAAAGGAAACACAGGAGAAATCAAATTCAASGGGTAACTCTGGTTTAGTTAAGGAGTTACACAGAAAAAAAGTGCTTAAACAATACATTAATTGCAATTTCACTTATTTCCCTAGGGAACTTGAGAAAGGTTCCACCGAAAAGTTTCTTGCACCAGTTGGGAAGGATATTGGAGAACTTAAATCGGTTGAAGTAAAAAATAACCGAATTGATCCTTGGAAAGTAACGAAAGTTACTCTTCAATATATTGACGGCACTGACAGGTATGATAGCAGGCTTYTGCTCAGTAAAACGAATGCTAACATCAGAGCAATACTGAGTTCCTGTCGCTGYCATTTCAATGTTGAAAAAACAAATGTATGTTGCTCACACTTGTTGTAAATTAAGCTCTCATGACGTTAAACTAAACTGTGTTTGCGTATATATACACATTCTTGTTGAAATTATCTTTTCAGTTACCATGCTTGCTTCAACGTCAATGTGTATCGCTCATTCAAGAAGAGAGATCTTACACGCGGTAACGCCCAGTGTAAGCGAAAACACTCCATAAGAGGACCTCGAAATAAAGACCGACATATTGGATCGGGAGAACATGGAGAAAAGATTGTCAAGTCAACTTTGCAGAAGAAAGGACGACTTCACAAGATTTTGAAGAATAAAGCATGACTTTAAAGAGAAAACTACGTGATAAAATCCACCGGATGCATTATGAAACTTAACTTTAATCGATCCATACCATTTTCCAGGCTCAAATAAAATTCAAACTCAAAAGCTGTGTTATTTTGTTTTAACGTAGTTGCTAATCTACCATCTTGTCTTTGASTTGACTCTTTGATTCCTGATACCATATACAAAAATACTTATAAACAATACAAGAGTAGTAATTCTGTCCAATAGGCCCCAAAAGAGTCCATGAGTGACACTGTCAGAAGTATTGCACTGCACCTTTCTTAATTAGGAACTTCGRTCTTGACTTCAACAATTTCATATTTCTTCGGTGTTGCATTATTCGATTTGTTGCTACTTCAAGCTTTATTCACAATGGAGAGTAGAGACGTGTGAAATGAAAAATTAATGCAAAAGATATCAACCAAGATATAGCCGTATCCCTTCCCTGTCACAAACAAATAATAAAATAAACGATATGGTTAACATTGCTGCTGTGAAGAATAAAATTTTCCACTGTAAGCCGTCAACTGAAATCTTTGATGTCAATCAAAATCATTTAGAGATCCATATTTGAACGGYTGGAATACGATTCCCAGACATATACCTGTGCTCTGTACTTACTAAAGCCAATCATAGTAGAACACCTGACTTGTGGCGTTAAAAGAATATCATCATGAGGTAATGTAAAGGATCAAGCGTAATCTTATTCATAAGATGTTGGTTGTAATCTTGTTCGCTTTTATTGATCAGTAGACATTGGTGGAGTCGGCCTTGGTTAAAGTAGCGAAGACAAAGAAGGTAACAACATAAACGGTCACTATCTAATTACTTGTAAAATTAACTGGTAAATTAATATGAACAATGCATTGCAGCATAAAGAATATTAGATTTACAATTTCAAAAATGGTAATTGCTATATGAAAAAGGACACAAAAATGCTTATATATTAACAATAGATTTATTTCTCAGTTGTAGAAGCATTTGAATAGCCAAACGAACAGAGGAAACGGTGTTAGGTTAACAAAAGTAGCATTAGCAACAGGAAGATCAAGTTGTTCATTTTTCAGTCACTCTCACTTCCTAACCTCACAGACATCAAATAAATTACCATGTTTTATTTAAAAATAAAGGCCAAACCAGGCTGAGTAAACATAATGTTTTGTAGTATTTTCAGAAATGCAGTCCCTCTGTCTACGTTTTACGCTTGGTCTGGTTCTTCTACAGTGTTTTGGTAAGGTAGCCGTGGATCTCAAGTGCAATATTGCTACTATACCTTATCTTATCTTTCTCATTCCCGATGGCTCTATCATTGGCATTAACATTGTCAACACTACTCACATTTTGATCAGAGTTGATTAATACACYAAATCAAACATTTCAGTGTCAACGGTTGCAAAAACAGTGACCTATGGAAAGTATGGCTCGTTCAGCGACGGCGCTCCCTTCGACAGCAAAGTCATTATAGTGAGCAGGCCTTTACCTGACCCTCCAGAACAAATGCAAATGGAATATTTCCTGTTTACGAGGGAAGACCGCATCGGCTCTAAAAGYCTTGATGACAGCGATACTAACAAACTGAAGGAATCCAGTTATGATGGTACAAAAAGGACTTTCCTCATAATTCACGGTTGGACTGGTGAGTAGACATCTGGTAGACAGTATAATACAAATTAGAACATCATGGAAACGTCTTAATGTAAAATATTAATCATTTCCAGGAAAACCACTAGAATCCCCATGGGTCAAAGAAATGAAAGAGTCTTTACTAGAGAAAGAAGATGCAAATGTCATTATAACTGGATGGAAAGAAGGAGCGGRCGACCTTTACTATCCACAAGCCGTCGGCAACACACGATTAGTTGGAGCCATGGTACGCCCTGCTTGAATTCTGTAAATATTGTTTGATTTCAGTTGAACGTCTGTCTAAGGAAATTGTCAGTGTCAGTGATTTTCAAGATAAAGGCAAAAAGGAATACACTGGAAAAGGACACAATGGGGATGCAGCCACGCTTCGTTTGTTTTTATAATAATTCATTATTCATGATATCAGAAATATCTTGCCGTTCAATAGCCGACTTGTGAATTTTTCGTCAGTAGTCACACACAAAGGAATCAAGACGAGACGCCGTGCATAATGCTCAGTCATTCGTGAAAAGATAATGCTTTTTTCACGATTCACTGAGTTTTATGCACGGCGCCTCGTCTTGATTCAGTTGTTTTTGGCTACGTGGCCGAATTCGCAAGTCGGCTATTAAAATGACCTAAACAGTTCAAAGGCAGTAGGCATGGCTTCCGAAAGGTGTTTCTATGTGGCTGCCTCAACCCCTTAGCTAATCAAAGTAACAATGCCTTTTACAGGTAGCGGAGTTTATCAAGTTTCTCAACACCCAAACCAACAACACTCCAGAAACATTCCACGTGATTGGATTCAGTTTGGGTGCACAGGTGGCTGGGTATGCCGGGAAAAGATTTCAAGAAATAACAGACTCAAAAATTGCTCGTATTACAGGTATTAACTGATTTCTTGTCGTGCTTTCTGCAGAATAGCAATCTTATATCCAGAGCACCATTAACAGATTTCATTCATTAGCTCCAGTCTATCCATTATCTTATATAGATGTAGCACTAAACATCTAATCCACTGAATACATTTCATCTCTTGGATTTTTCAAGTTCTTAATATTTTCTGACCGTCTCGTCGTCATCGTAAAAAMTTCATCCATTCTCTATTCCATTTGACCACCCCTAACACAGATGGCCTTAGACGTAGAACTCCAMTGCATTTGTCAGGACTTTTCAAGTTCTCACTAGTTTTGAAAAGTGGATTTAAACGTTGTTATCGTAGGACTAGATCCAGCCTCTCCTGGGTATAAAGGTACTCACACTGATGTGAGACTAGACGCTACTGACGCCGAGTTCGTTGACGTCATCCATAGCGATTGTCCCAATGTAGGCACACCTGACAAAAGTGGAAAGTTTGACTTTTGGCCTAATGGCGGTGGAAAACAACCTGGGTGTGCTATCAAAAGTAGGTATACCTTTCATCCATTATTGAATGCAACAATATTAATCTATGATGAGATGAAGAAGAACTTTTTAATGCATTAGGAATTTAACCCAAAATGTTTCTRGGAATTTTGTGTGCTTTCTTTTTTGTTTTCCTTGTTTCTGAAATGCAGTATCCACTTTTGCTGCCGTTATTAGAAAGAGGGGCGGTTGATAACATCTTCAAATTGGTGGGGTGCGAACATTACCGAGCTCACCAATACTTCATCGAGTCCATCAAATCCACCGAGTGCTTATTCCGTTCGTATCCCTGCCAAAACTGGAATGAGTTTACACGTGGCAAGTGCATGGAGTGTGGAGCTAATGGAAAGAACTGTCCAGAAATGGGATTTAACGCAATAAAGTACAAGGATTTAGAGGGTGGGAGCTTTTATCTTAACACCAACTCAGAAGCTCCTTATTGCGGTAAGAATTGACAATCAATCTATCGTATAATGKTTCTTAATCATCCATACATGTTATCCAAAACTGTGAGCATTTYCTCACCCAACCRATCACAAACCAAAACAGAAAACAAAAGTTTCAAGATGTTATGCTGAAACGWTCCTCATCAATCATGTTTGATTTCTTCCACAGTTCCTCGCTACATGTATGTAACATTTGGAACTGGTACATCCATTTTTGGAGGTGGACATAATCCAAGAGTTCGTATCTCTGGAAGCAAAGGAAACACAGGAGAAATCAAATTCAASGGGTAACTCTGGTTTAGTTAAGGAGTTACACAGAAAAAAAGTGCTTAAACAATACATTAATTGCAATTTCACTTATTTCCCTAGGGAACTTGAGAAAGGTTCCACCGAAAAGTTTCTTGCACCAGTTGGGAAGGATATTGGAGAACTTAAATCGGTTGAAGTAAAAAATAACCGAATTGATCCTTGGAAAGTAACGAAAGTTACTCTTCAATATATTGACGGCACTGACAGGTATGATAGCAGGCTTYTGCTCAGTAAAACGAATGCTAACATCAGAGCAATACTGAGTTCCTGTCGCTGYCATTTCAATGTTGAAAAAACAAATGTATGTTGCTCACACTTGTTGTAAATTAAGCTCTCATGACGTTAAACTAAACTGTGTTTGCGTATATATACACATTCTTGTTGAAATTATCTTTTCAGTTACCATGCTTGCTTCAACGTCAATGTGTATCGCTCATTCAAGAAGAGAGATCTTACACGCGGTAACGCCCAGTGTAAGCGAAAACACTCCATAAGAGGACCTCGAAATAAAGACCGACATATTGGATCGGGAGAACATGGAGAAAAGATTGTCAAGTCAACTTTGCAGAAGAAAGGACGACTTCACAAGATTTTGAAGAATAAAGCATGACTTTAAAGAGAAAACTACGTGATAAAATCCACCGGATGCATTATGAAACTTAACTTTAATCGATCCATACCATTTTCCAGGCTCAAATAAAATTCAAACTCAAAAGCTGTGTTATTTTGTTTTAACGTAGTTGCTAATCTACCATCTTGTCTTTGAGTTGACTCTTTGATTCCTGATACCATATACAAAAATACTTATAAACAATACAAGAGTAGTAATTCTGTCCAATAGGCCCCAAAAGAGTCCATGAGTGACACTGTCAGAAGTATTGCACTGCACCTTTCTTAATTAGGAACTTCGRTCTTGACTTCAACAATTTCATATTTCTTCGGTGTTGCATTATTCGATTTGTTGCTACTTCAAGCTTTATTCACAATGGAGAGTAGAGACGTGTGAAATGAAAAATTAATGCAAAAGATATCAACCAAGATATAGCCGTATCCCTTCCCTGTCACAAACAAATAATAAAATAAACGATATGGTTAACATTGCTGCTGTGAAGAATAAAATTTTCCACTGTAAGCCGTCAACTGAAATCTTTGATGTCAATCAAAATCATTTAGAGATCCATATTTGAACGGYTGGAATACGATTCCCAGACATATACCTGTGCTCTGTACTTACTAAAGCCAATCATAGTAGAACACCTGACTTGTGGCGTTAAAAGAATATCATCATGAGGTAATGTAAAGGATCAAGCGTAATCTTATTCATAAGATGTTGGTTGTAATCTTGTTCGCTTTTATTGATCAGTAGACATTGGTGGAGTCGGCCTTGGTTAAAGTAGCGAAGACAAAGAAGGTAACAACATAAACGGTCACTATCTAATTACTTGTAAAATTAACTGGTAAATTAATATGAACAATGCATTGCAGCATAAAGAATATTAGATTTACAATTTCAAAAATGGTAATTGCTATATGAAAAAGGACACAAAAATGCTTATATATTAACAATAGATTTATTTCTCAGTTGTAGAAGCATTTGAATAGCCAAACGAACAGAGGAAACGGTGTTAGGTTAACAAAAGTAGCATTAGCAACAGGAAGATCAAGTTGTTCATTTTTCAGTCACTCTCACTTCCTAACCTCACAGACATCAAATAAATTACCATGTTTTATTTAAAAATAAAGGCCAAACCAGSCTGAGTAAACATAATGTTTTGTAGTATTTTCAGAAATGCAGTCCCTCTGTCTACGTTTTACGCTTGGTCTGGTTCTTCTACAGTGTTTTGGTAAGGTAGCCGTGGATCTCAAGTGCAATATTGCTACTATACCTTATCTTATCTTTCTCATTCCCGATGGCTCTATCATTGGCATTAACATTGTCAACACTACTCACATTTTGATCAGAGTTGATTAATACACYAAATCAAACATTTCAGTGTCAACGGTTGCAAAAACAGTGACCTATGGAAAGTATGGCTCGTTCAGCGACGGCGCTCCCTTCGACAGCAAAGTCATTATAGTGAGCAGGCCTTTACCTGACCCTCCAGAACAAATGCAAATGGAATATTTCCTGTTTACGAGGGAAGACCGCATCGGCTCTAAAAGYCTTGATGACAGCGATACTAACAAACTGAAGGAATCCAGTTATGATGGTACAAAAAGGACTTTCCTCATAATTCACGGTTGGACTGGTGAGTAGACATCTGGTAGACAGTATAATACAAATTAGAACATCATGGAAACGTCTTAATGTAAAATATTAATCATTTCCAGGAAAACCACTAGAATCCCCATGGGTCAAAGAAATGAAAGAGTCTTTACTAGAGAAAGAAGATGCAAATGTCATTATAACTGGATGGAAAGAAGGAGCGGRCGACCTTTACTATCCACAAGCCGTCGGCAACACACGATTAGTTGGAGCCATGGTACGCCCTGCTTGAATTCTGTAAATATTGTTTGATTTCAGTTGAACGTCTGTCTAAGGAAATTGTGTGAGTCAGTGATTTTCAAGATAAAGGAAAAAAGGAATACACTGGAAAAGGACACAATGGGGATGCAGCCACGCTTCGTTTGTTTTTAATAATAATTCATTATTCATGATATCAGAAATATCTTGCCGTTCAATAGCCGACTTGTGAATTTTGCCTCAGTAGTCACACACAAAGGAATCAAGACGAGACGCCGTGCATAATGCTCAGTCATTCGTGAAAAGATAATGCTTTTTTCACGATTCACTGAGTTTTATGCACGGCGCCTCGTCTTGATTCTTGTTTTTGGCTACGTGGCTGAATTCGCAAGTCGGCTGGCTATTAAAATGACCTAAACAGTTCAAAGGCAGTAGGCATGGCTTCCGAAAGGTGTTTCTATGTGGCTGCCTCAACCCCTTAGCTAATCAAAGCAACAATGCCTTTTACAGGTAGCGGAGTTTATCAAGTTTCTCAACACCCAAACCAACAACACTCCAGAAACATTCCACGTGATTGGATTCAGTTTGGGTGCACAGGTGGCTGGGTATGCCGGGAAAAGATTTCAAGAAATAACAGACTCAAAAATTGCTCGTATTACAGGTATTAAATGATTTCTTGTCGTGCTTTCTGCAGAATAGCAATCTTATATCCAGAGCACCATTAACAGATTTCATTCATTAGCTCCAGTCTATCCATTATCTTATATAGATGTAGCACTAAACATCTAATCCACTGAATACATTTCATCTCTTGGATTTTTCAAGTTCTTAATATWTTCTGACCGTCTCGTCGTCATCGTAAAAAMTTCATCCATTCTCTATTCCATTTGACCACCCCTAACACAGATGGCCTTAGACGTAGAACTCCAMTGCATTTGTCAGGACTTTTCAAGTTCTCACTAGTTTTGAAAAGTGGATTTAAACGTTGTTATCGTAGGACTAGATCCAGCCTCTCCTGGGTATAAAGGTACTCACACTGATGTGAGACTAGACGCTACTGACGCCGAGTTCGTTGACGTCATCCATAGCGATTGTCCCAATGTAGGCACACCTGACAAAAGTGGAAAGTTTGACTTTTGGCCTAATGGCGGTGGAAAACAACCTGGGTGTGCTATCAAAAGTAGGTATACCTTWCATCCATTATTGAATGCAACAATATTAATCTATGATGAGATGAAGAAGAACTTTTTAATGCATTAGGAATTTAACCCAAAATGTTTCTRGGAATTTTGTGTGCTTTCTTTTTTGTTTTCCTTGTTTCTGAAATGCAGTATCCACTTTTGCTGCCGTTATTAGAAAGAGGGGCGGTTGATAACATCTTCAAATTGGTGGGGTGCGAACATTACCGAGCTCACCAATACTTCATCGAGTCCATCAAATCCACCGAGTGCTTATTCCGTTCGTATCCCTGCCAAAACTGGAATGAGTTTACACGTGGCAAGTGCATGGAATGTGGAGATAATGGAAAGAACTGTCCAGAAATGGGATTAAACGCCATTAATCATAAGGATTTAGAGGGTGGAAGCTTTTATCTTTACACCAACTCCGAAGCTCCGTATTGCGGTAAGAATTGACAATCAATCTAACGTATATGATTCTTACTCATCCATACATGTTATCCAACTTCGGCATTTACTCACCTAACCAATCACAAACCAAAACAGGGGAAAAGAAAGTTCACTATGTTATGTCTATCAGTAAGCAACCTTATCAGTCATGTTTGACCTCTTCCAGTTCCTCGCTACATGTATGTAACATTCGCAACCGGTACATCCACGTTTGGGGGAGGACATGACCCAAGAATTCGTATATCTGGAAGCAACGGAGACACAGGAAACATCGACTTCAAGGGGTAATAGCGTGAATACTAGAGAATTCATTCTTACAAAGTTATCTGTGAAGACGTAGAAGTGAACGGAATTTGCATGCATTTAAGCCAACGAAATAAAGTGAGTAAATAACGCTTTTCAGTACATCATTAACGAAAATGAAAGAGCTTCATCCTAAGGAGTTTGATATACATTTGTCAGAAAAGAATGATTGGTGGAAGTGTTTCATTTTCTCTTTCCGAGCCATTTGACTCCATTTGTGTTTGTTGATTGGTTATATCTAATGATTCAAGAAGTTTTCTCACGGCAAGAAAACAACTAGGTATCATCACTAAATGCAGACTTGTCAGGTGGAGCAATTGAGACGTTAAATAGAAAAATTAACACGTGCTGATGGAAATAATATATAAATTGGTATTTCGCGTATTACCCAGGGACCTGAAGAAGGGCTCCACCGAAAAGTTTCTTGCACCAATCAAGGCAGACCTTGGTGAGCTTAAATCCGTTGAAGTAAAAAATCGAATGACTGCTAACCCAGCTGATCCTTGGAAAGTAAAGAAAGTTACTCTTCAATATATTGACAGCACTGAGAGGTATGATAAACAAGCAACYCTCAAGTTTCTAGTCTGAAAAATGAGTGCATTCTATCATTGCCGCCATARTCCGTTACTTTCATTTCAATGTTGAAAAGAATGCTGCCACATATGCCCCTTCCATACACAAATCATGACGTTCACTATGTTACTATYTAAATTATCTTTTCAGTTTCCATGCTTGCTTCAACGTCAATGTGTATCGCTCATTCGAGAAGAGAGATCTTACACGCGGCAACGCCCAGTGTAAGCGAAAACACTCCATAAGAGGGCCTCGAAATAAAGAACGCAATATTGGATCGGGAGAACATGAAGAAAAGAATGTCAAGTCAACATTGCAGAAAAAAGGACGACTTCACAAGATTTTGAAGAATATGCCATGACGTTAAAGAAAAAAAACTGCGTAATAAAAGCCTCCGGCTGCATATGACACTTCACTGGACTCTAGGAACTAACTCAAATAAAATTCAAATWTAGAAGATGTGCGAGTTGTTTTATTTCTAGTTAAGCATCCATCAGGAAGTTCGACTTTAATTTAAAGGTTTTAGGAAAGGTCTGGAGTAATCGTTTTGCTTTGRTATTAGGTAGAATGCTGTTCTACACATTTGTACGATGGTATTCCATCGAATTGCGTGCCAAGGAAGTGTGGCATTTAGGGACATTTAGTTTGGCTTTGTTTCATATAGTTGTGGAGGCTTACATCCTCTCAGGTACAAGTGCCAAAACAGGCTTTGCTACCGTAGTCCACAAGTTGTCAGGAGCTCAATTAAYCCCATCCTTAGATTTTCTTAAATTCTGTGAAGCACTATTATTGAAGGGGCYCTGAGGAATAAAGTTGTAGTCACACGGATGGGCTACGAGGAGCGAAGAGAATAGGAAAAAAGGCCTAACTGACAATGCAAAGCTACAGAGATGTGACATGTCAATGGAATGATAGGTACCTCGGGTGAAATTGCATTSAAGGGGCAAAAACGAATTTCGACAAAATGCGATTACCGTTGCCTAGGTAACGTTAATGGAGCTAAATATTATGCCAAACAAACCTTTGATCAATGCTTTATTACTAGCCCAAACACCATGGCAAGATTTTCAAAAAGAAAATTTAAAAGGAGGAGGTATGATCGAAAAACCACTATAGGAAGACAATGATRGCTGGTTCTTTGATCCGTGTTGAAGAAGACTAAAGGACAACCTTAAAAAGAAAAACTGCGCAGTAAAAACCTTCCAGCTGACATTTCACTGGACTCTAGGCAATAACYTTTWATTCAAATAAAACTCAAATTCAGAAGATGTGTGAATTGTTATATTTCTAATTAGCCATTCATCAMGACGTTGACTCATTTATGGGGTTAGAATATAATACCTATTTTACAGTGTGTTATCTAAGAGATATTTGGACAAAGGCAAGCCAAATGAACGTGAATACATTAGCAATTGSCASCATTCAWGGATTTGGCAGCTGGTCTGATGAAGTACTGAGCTTTTGTCATCTGAGAAAGATAAAGCATTTCGCTGTAACTATCATCAGAAATGAAGTCTCTCTATCTTGGGTTYTCTGTTACATTGATACTTTTGAGCTGTTTTGGTAATGAATTAGCACAGTTTAGCAGTTTTTTTTCTCCCTGGAATCTTTATTTTTTAGCTCAGTTTTCTTCGTTCAGTTCTGGTGCAGTGTCAGATGTTCTTTTATTTCTTTTAGGTTGTGTAGCTGMTGGAGAAAAGGTTTGCTATGGCAAATACGGCTGCTTCACCAACAATCCTCCCTTCGATCGAGGTCTTTTGTACAGCTGGTTGCCAAGCCCCCCAAAGGAAATACAAACAAAATATTTTTTGTACACAAGAGAGAACCGAAACGAATACAATATTATTGACGATAGTGATGTTGGCAAACTTAATTCTTCTACATATAAAAGTTCAAGAAAGACTGTTCTTATAATTCATGGTTGGATTGGTGAGTATTCCTATGGTCGTGCGATATTCATGAAATAAACAATAATATAATATTCGAAGAAATAAACTGGAGACAAGTGTTTTACGAATATGATGCAAATGATTAAAAGAGCTAGTGAGGTGTGGTTGTCTTTCCTCTCAAAACTGAATAATGCTTTTATATTTTACGTATTTTCCCTAGTGCTCGCGAGGTTAGCTCTCAGATAAGGTAACAGTCACTGATTAGGCGATTGTTCTTTTAAAAGTAATTGACCAGGCAAGGTCATCATGTATCCATACTACATGCTTATTTATAAGTTTGGTAGTGCATTATCAAAAGAGATCCCGGTGCTCGAGAAAATCCAATTGAAGTACCTGGTGACTATTTAATGATATTAAACATGATGGCAAGGGTGATTAATAGAAAGTCAAYTGCAGAGGATCCAATGGAGCGCTCATGGGTAAAGGATATGAAAGATGCATTACTCGACGAGGGAGATGTSAACGTGGTTGTTGTTGAATGGAAAGAAGGTGCTCTTGAGCTTCTTTATCCAAAAGCTGTTGCCAATACACGTTTAGTTGGAGCAATGGTAAGTACATTAGTCAGTTTATGGCACTAATGGTACTCGCTAACATGATGTTCTCAATTATATTTCTTCGCTTGGTTTATCATTTTGTAAACTCCAAAGGTAGCAGAGCTTCTCAAGTTTCTGAACTCCCAAACGAATTCAGTCATGTATCACGTGATCGGGTTTAGTTTAGGGGCACAGGTCGCAGGGTATGCTGGGAAAAGGTTCAAAGAAATAAGTGGCTTAAAGATTGGTCGTATTACAGGTACATGCAAGACACTAATTGCCTAATATCAAAAAAAGGACGCAACCCTTGATTAATTTCATTGTAATCCATCTATTCATAAATGACGTTTTCGCACTCTCTACTTTACGTGRCCAAAACAATCAACAAAAATATTTTAATTACTAGGATTAGATCCAGCCGGCCCTGGATTCATGGCTGAGCACTTTGATGTGAGACTCGACCCCAATGATGGAGAATTCGTAGACGTTATTCACAGTGATTCGCCGAGCATCGGTATTCCGGACAAAAGCGGAAATGTAGATTTTTGGCCGAATGGAGGAGAAACACAAACTGGTTGTATACTTAGTAAAAGCAAGTATTTAATCATGATCGGTGATGTTGATTGTGGTAAAAAGCGGATAAAAGCGGAAATGTTGATTTTTGGCCGAATGGAGGAGAATCACAATTAACTGGTTGTGTACTTAGTAGAAGCAAGTATTTAACCACGATCGGTGATGATGTTGATTGTGTCTAAGGATGTGAATGATTGCAAGGATTACTTGACGATGGTGCTGATGGTATGGAGATACAGTTTTATATTCGTTATGTCAACACTATGACATTCAAATCGTMTTTTATCATCAGGAAAAAGATCGCTAATTTATCAACTTGGAATTAAGACACTGGCATGTAGYCATGTTCGTTCAGTTTCGTATTTTATCGAGTCCATCYKGTCTAGTAACTGTTTGTTTCGTTCATATCGCTGTATGTCGTGGAAGACGTTTACRCGTGGCCATTGCATTGAGTGTGGAGAGCATGGAAAGGACTGTCCAGAAATGGGATATAACGCCATTAAGTACAACGGCTTAGAGAATGGAAACTTTTATCTTTACACGAATGCACAAGCTCCGTATTGCGGTAAAAAAAACTATTATCCAAAATAATCGATAAAATGCACCAATTAATTTCTAAATTGTAAACCAATCAATCAGTTAATGACCAATTTTTACATCAACCACATTGTTGGTTTCYCCACAGTACATCGTTACATGAACGTAAAATTCCAAACTGGTTCTAGCTGGTTTGCAGATGGAAACAATCCCAGAATTCGCGTCAATGGAATGAAAGGTACCTCTGGAGAAATTGCATTAAAGGGGTAGGTCACATCAATATCAGCAAACCAACAACCTTCCCTCCCCCTTAATATATACCATCGTTGCACAGAGAACGTATCGTTTTGCATGTCAATGCGCTCGAGGAAAATGTCAACCWGTCTCAAAAATAATAAAATTGAATTCATAGTCACCTGGAGGACGGGAGCACAGAGCAGTTCATCGCTCCAATTAAGTCTGATCTTGGTGAGCTACAAACCATAGAGGTTAAACATGATAGCTGGTTCTTTGATCCATGGGATGTAATCAAAGTTTCTGTTCAGTTCCTTGGCAGCACACAGTGGTAAGATATCATCTCGTTAATAGCAATCAATTATAGTCAGCATGACATTTAACTAGTTTTCTATTTCAGGTACACTGCTTGCTACAGCATCAACGTTTACGGCTCTTTTCAAAGGAGAGAGCTGAAAAAAGGAGAAGTGGATTGCTGATTACAAGACATAGACCATTTTGACATTATTTCTTGTCAATGATATAAAGAGCCTTTGTGAACTATAATTAATAATAAAACTGAATGATTCAAAATTTGGYTTTAGAGAAAATTGTACTTGATATGAGATGACAGTAATGAGCTTAGAATGATAACAGACTGTCATGATATGCTGTTGTACGTAGTACCACGATTGTCTWTTCTAACTCTAATCATGACTCACAACAACAGTTTTATCAGAGTACAGAAATTACATTATACAAGGTTTCAGCTCTTAAGACATATAAGTTCAACGACRTCAAAACGCTAGAAATATCGAGTCAGGAGTAATATCCCGTCTTTCTCAATTTTTCAGAATAGCTAACCCGACTTTGTCGTCGTAAAACTAATTAGCAATAAGGTAAATGCAGTATTGTCATAGCTCACTCACCAATAGCAGAATTATATACCAGTTATATGTTCCAAGTACTCTACATGCTATAACATCAACGTTTATGCGTCTTTTAAGRGGAGAGACCTGACAAATAGAGAAGTATATTGCCGATAAGAACATTCAGTAATCGTAAACTGTGSTCGATGACGATGCCTTTGTGGATAGGTCATCTGCATGAWGGTACAACTTTACTACAAATACCAGAAATAAAGCCTTGCGCATTTTACCTTTGTTAATCAAGACTTTAATAATCCCTTGGAGATAAATGAAACAATTGTGAGTAATTACATTACAAAAGAAAGTGCGAAATGCATTCTGGTAGTTGTTTCTAATGATGGCATAACACAAATCGCCTATTTAAACTTTTATTATATTATTATAAGACATAGGTAATAAGTGCAATGATGCATCTTTTTTCAATCACTCTTCACGASTCAAAATTCAAGTCCAATCAAGGACGCTGCATTGCCSGGAATATATTTAGACCTAACACCWGTATAAACAAGGTAGCCTGACAAAATGTCRCACCCACAGGCACACGTGAGAATATAACCATTCAAACCCTAAACCCAAATGATAAAATAGAAATAATAATACGAATAAATCTCAGTTGAGACGGTGAAATGATAATAATAACATGAAGTATCATTTTGTCGATGATAGTGATAAGCACAATGATGAATAAATGTCACGATAAAAATCAAGGGTGCGTAATAAYGACAATAATGCAATAYCSAGGATACTTCKTATTCAATTTCATGGTAAATAGAAGACAAAAGTGAGGTGTTCTTCCAGTTTTATTTTTCGTTTTCAGGTTACGTYACAGCGGCCATCTTGGAGGAATTTCAACAAAGGATTTCTCATTAGTATCTATTGTTCGTTCYTCCAATATGGTCRCCTGYCTTTTGTCTTTTGAATCTCATGGGARTAATTGAAAACAACCAATTAGAAAACAAACAGTGGCTTTCCAATGCACTAGAGACATATCAAATGGAAATGGAAAATCCGACTGAAACTCGAAAGAAAATGGTCATAGTTTGACAATRAAGAGTAATCAAGTATGGCGTGAATTTCAGGAGTTAATGAAAAACACTCTCAAGCAAAGAAACAATTCACACAGACAAATATAATTATTTGTTTTATCTGCTCGTTTTCCAAGAGAGAAGAAAAACGATACACAACTGTAATAAAGCTCTGTGATTGGTTAATGCGTGTAATGTGCTTTGCTTTCAATGTTATAAAAAGTGTTTCTATTTGAACGCGTCTACTGACTCACAGWTGCACAACGATGAAGGGTTYCTTCGTTTATCTGCTGATTGCAGTTGTAGGTAGGTRTAAAAGTCATCTCAAAATCRCAAAGAGTATMTGAGAATCTATATTGAMAATAATTGTTGCGTTTCCTCCTCYAATCCACTTGAATTCACCCAGCTGTGMTATATATTACAGTTTCATCGAGACCCATCATAATATCATTAGTTACAATTTCGAAACTTAACTCAGTSGAAATACTTTTGACGATATTCAGGCCCAGCGTAAGTGAGTATCAAAACGTAAAGCAGCATTTATTTTGCTTTCAACAAATTACTGAAGTTCAATTTAACAAGTATTGCTCACATTACAACTGGTGACACCCGTATTCGAACTCCGGGACCAAAACATTGAAAACGACTGGGACGATTCCACTGAGACATTCTATGAAGMTTAGGCGTCGATTTACATTTCGGTTGGAGATTTGCAAGCTATCTAGATAATTGGTCCTAMCTTCGYGAGCCTTGACCATAGATTATTAGCCCCTTGCAATAACTATCGAAAGCGAACTAGAAAGTGAACTATGGAAAGTATAATGTCACTTTTTTTATTTATCTATGTCTTTTTGAATTTGACTGTCGTTGTTTGCTTGAGTAGTTACTAAAGTCAAAATTCAATTTTCTTCTAAATATAACGCATACAGCTTGTACTGGTGCTACTGAGAAAGTTTGTTATGGGAAATATGGCTGTTTCACTCATGACTATCCCTTCAACCGSCCACTAATTCCCCTCCCACAGCATCCTAACGAAATTGGACTGACCTACCACGTGACCACAAGAAAGTACCCATCTGGAGAAAAACTTATAAATGATCATGACGTCAGTCTTCTGAAGTCCTCTGGTTACGATGGCTCGAAGCGGACGATCATTATCGTGCACGGATGGATTGGTAAATACACACTAAAAGAAATCCAAATATAACGTTGATGTACATAATTATCCAATTTAAGTCAAGTTACTGTTTTAACCAGACATTCCATTGAGCTATGAAGGAAGGGAACGGAAATAACGTCAATTGAATTGAAACCCTGGCCCTCTAAACCCCCGAGGAGTGTCGGGAAACTCATCATGGCCATGTTTAAATTTAACATTTTTTTAACTGCTCAATTAACAAAGGCAGGGGAATTAACGTTTAGATCAAAGGTACCGACTTTTTTATCCCTATGGGCTGAGAAATGCCGGGACATTAACATTGCTGAAATGTTTATTCCCCCGGTATTGTCCGGGATTTGGCGGGTCATGTTTTTTATTGATTGATGCACTRTACGTKTATGACTGCGGTTTTGCAGAAAACCATGAAGCARGTTGGCAGACAGACTTGAAAAAATCTCTGATCCTCAAAGAAGATGTTAATGTTATTGTTGCTGGTTGGAAAGAGGGAGCAGCCGAGTTTTATACGATATCAGTAGCTAACACAAGACTGGTTGGCTCTATGGTAATCACTTATATCACTTGATAACTTTGATATAACTAATACCAGTATGTTAGTTAGTGGATCATTGTTATATCATAATTGACAAAAGACAGAMGTTATTGAATTATGAATGAATTCTGCCCAGCGCCCTTACTAAGAACACTTGCTTGGTCAGTTGTGCAGCGAACTTAGGGGACGTACTCTCTAGTATCATATTCACAGATAGACATTTCTACTCTAGATAACAGAACTCATCAAGTTTTTGAACACGAACACACGAAATACACCAGCTTCGTTTCATGTAATCGGCTTCAGTCTTGGCGGGCAGATTGCTGGGTATGTTGGACGACGCCTTCAAAACATAAAACTTGGCCGAATTACTGGTATGACAGATGATTGTCTTTTCTAGTWGGTTTTTTATTTGTTCTAATGTACATTTTGTGTTTTTCACATTTTTCATTCCCTTTCTTTTTATTATCCACAATCATGTTGGTTATCTATACAATGATCCCCTCGTGTATTCCTTTGTCTTTGACCACAATTGGCTTAATATCGAATCCACTTGATATATTAATATTATATTATACTATTTAATATTATATTTTAACTTAAAAGCTGAAAAATATTGAACGTTTAAAATCAGGTCTGGACCCAGCAGCACCTTACTACTATAATACACACACGGACGTGAGACTCGACCCTAGTGATGCAGATTTCGTTGATGTCATACATACCAATGCTCCTTTGATTGGAACTCTTACGAAAAGTGGACATCTCGATTTCTGGCCTAATGGTGGCATGTTYCAACGTGGATGTACAATCACGAGTGCAATTCCTGGTATATGCATGCCATTGTATTTCAGTTTAATCGATTCTCAATGTGACGTAAGCCTTGTTATTCATCATGTGCCAACCAGAAGACTAGACATGAGAAGACAATTGGCTATTTAGAACAAAGCGACTTGTGAAAGTCCATTCTCATCATGGTTGGCACATTAACATAAKAATGACTTTGTTGATAAACATTGAGTATCGCTGTATAGTGTATGTTTTCTCAATGATTGATTTTCGACTGTCAGTTGATTTTCGATATTTCCAAGCATAATTGTGATTCATTAAACATTTAGACTAAACAGCTTCCTCTATTTTGAAGTATGTCGCAGTCTTTTGCACTTACCTCAAAATGGTGTGAGAAATTAGTACACRAACAACGTAAGTAGATATATTTTTTTAAGACGCGAGTGGCGTGMATGATGTTATCCGCCATCTTGCATCTTGACACATWGGAAAATTACACAGAAAGACCAATTTTGAAAAACAGGAAGCCCAAACCAATAAAGCAGAGGATGCTTATACTGTGATTTTATTTTCAGAGGGTATCGCGGGTCTGGCATGTCATCACTTCCGAGCACCCAATTATTACGTCAACTCAGTTCTTTCTCAGAGATCCTTTAAGTCTTATCGCTGCTCCAGCTGGTCCCAGTTCACACGCGGTAGTTGTATGTCGTGCAAAAACTGTCCAGAAATGGGTCATAATGCTATCAAACATAAAGGAAYAGCTGATGGGAACTTTTATCTGTACACAAACAAAGAACGGCCTTTCGCTGGTAAATAAGATGTCAGTAGTTATGTTATTGTTATGATGCATCTCATGTAGATTTATCTTAGTCTGTCAGACTAAAACCTACTGCTGCGCGTCGTCTTTTTTAAGCTTATTAGTTTTATATAACAAAGTCGCGTGTTTTTGTTTTGAATGGTGCTGAATACGACTAACTTTGTTTGGACGGATTATTTCAGTGCATCGCTACGCGTTGATAACGTTCAAAACGAGCAGCGGCTTTTTCGCCGACGGTTACAACCCAAGAGTCCGCATCTATGGCAGTAAAGGAGACACCGGGAAAATCAAACTCGCATTGTAAGTAATGGACTATACATCGTCAGAGTAAACACAGCCCTAAACAAAACAGTGCGCGATTTCTGATGTCAGTTSCCATTTATAATTTTAGACGACACATGAAAAAAGGCAGCAGTGAGACATTCGTTGCACCAATCAAATCAGACTTGGGCATGCTGCAAAGCATTGATGCATGGCACTTCCCCCTGAACCCCTTGGATGGATGGAGACTGGAGAAAGTGACCGTCAAGTATATCGATAGTAATGAACTGTAAGTACATAATCGAAACCTGAAATCAACTGCTTTTTAAATGAGCAAGACGAGAATAATTTGAAGSACTAAAGCATATCAATATATCAAAGATGATGTGTATTAGTTACTAACATGGAGGAGTGTGATGAAAAAGTCATGAAACATATTGGCATGCACTGTGGAATGGTAGTCGGCCATGGAACGGCATAAAAAATAGTTTATTCATGGTTAGGTATATCAGATATATAAAGATCAGTGGATGGACATACTCAATTTATAGAAAACGAAGAATTGATGTAAACGAGGAGATAATAATTGTCATCATTTTAACAGTATGTTATATCTTAGGTACACGGCATGTTATGGCACGTGGATTCCTTTGTACTTACTTCCAATCAACAAAAAACTCGCTAAAGGGAATTCCTCCTGCTAGATGCATTGATAACAACGAAAAGACAATTAGTCGATAAATATTAGCTATTTATTAACAGTAAATAAAATGTTTAGAAATTCATACGCGTATTGATKAATTTATAATAAATATTAAAGAACTTACTTACAAAATATGTACATTTTTCAAAAAATAAAACACTTTTTGTATCCAAAAAACTATGGGATACTATGAATATTTGCCTATAGTTTGGTAGCACGGTCTCATGGACCATCAACTCGTATTCCACTACAASACCTCRTCTAATTGTTAAATATCATCCCTTTTGAATATCAATCGAAAATTTTACAAGATATCACCAATGGCAKRA